AAGAACAAGACCACCGCACTTCTGCTCCACGCCTCCGGAGTAGTGCCACCATGGAGGACGGAATTGAAGAGCTTCTGAAGGACTTCAAGTACCGGTGTTCCACCCGCTTTCAGAAGCTCCGCTGTAATTCCATCCTCGCCTGGGGCCCTGCCGTTTTTAAGGTGCTGGAGAGCCATTCTAATCTCGCTCAGACTGACGTCCGGGATATCATCGGAATAGTGTCGGGTAAGACTTGCTCTTGGATCGTTACTCACACTTGCGTGTGACTCCAACGATAATGTGTACAGCTGCCCATAGAACCTCTCAATCTCACTCAAAATCTCAGGTGTACCGGAAACGATGCTGCCACACTCAGTCTTCAGCTTTGACAGTTGGCTCTTTCTGGCAGACAGATCTCTGACAAAGACTTTGGAGCCCTGGTTCCGCTCGATCGCTTCTTTAATACGAGCAGTATTAAAGTTGCGTAAGTCTCGCCGCATGCATTTGGTGATCTGTCTGTTCAGTTGCCTGTATGCTGTCAAATCTGTTGACGATTGCAGCCTCATCTCCCGTCTAACAGACATGAGCCTGATAATTAGTGTAAAGTGAATTAAAGAGTTAATTTTGGAAATTCTATCATCAATTTTGTTGTCATGAACCTCAAGCTTGTAACAATATTTTAAGGTTATTTCTATTGTCAAGCGAGGAACCATGATTAAAATAAATATGTTTCATAAATTTAGCTGTCAAGAAAAATATATTGTTACATATAAATATTGTTGTTTTAATTAAAATTGATTATATGGGCCTATATTTGTTATAAAGGGCCTGCCAAACAGCCAGAAGAATCATTAACTGATAAATAAAAAAGGTTTTCGAGTGGCAGCCTCGTACCGGTAAGCGAAGAGTAGGTCGGCCCCCAACTGGCTTGTGTTTATTTCTAGTATGTACGGAATGAATATCACTTATTTTTAAGAAACTACTTTTATTTTTGTGTACGTACATTAAATTTTCATAAGAGTTAATATATTAATTTCCTTAAAATTTTGTCTGAACGACTCTCTAGGTTTTAAATCATATATTGCTCTAATAGCCCTCTTGTGTAAAACAAATATTATAATTTCCGTGTCAGTAGCGTGTCCCCATAACAAAATACGATACGACAGTAGGCTATGGAAATAGCTAAAGTAAACTAGTCTAGCTGTTTCAACACTGGTAGTAGTTCTTACGTTTTTTACAGCATATGCTGCATAAACAAGTCTGCCAGCTAGTTTTGATATATGGGGGAGCCATTGAAGCTTTGTGTCTAGTGTGATTGCACGAATAATAATGGTATCAACAAGTTTTAACTCTTCCCCATTTAAAATTACATTAGTATTAACATGTTTGACATTCGGACTAACGAATTTCATACATTTAGTCTTAGTTTCATTCAAATGCAAATTATTAACATTATTAACATTTGATCGAGAGCAATTTGTTTCAAAAGTTTTACTCAGTGTTGGCAGTACAGAAATAAGTCTAAAATTAACACGGTCCAATGTACTGCCTTATTTAAATAAAGGTATTACTCTATTATGTTTCATTAAATCACAAAACACACTAGATTCGACACTAGTATTAAAAATAACAGATAGTGGAGGTGCGATTGCATATATTATAGACGCAATAACTTTAACGGAAATCTCCCACAGATCTGCGGTTTTCTTAATATCAATAGACTTAAAATATTTTACAACATCTTTTGATGATGCTTTATGAAATGTAAAATTCCTTGTACACGTATTTACGTTTTATTTAAGTAACGATTCGGCGGCAGCAGGAGAAGAATTCAGTGTCTTAGTGGTTAAGATCGAATTATCAGTAAAATATTTCTCAAACACCATTGCAACGTCCTGATCTGATTTAGTTAATTTATTGTTAAAATTTAACTGGTAGTTTGAATTGCGAAAGTTTACCTTACCAGTTTCACTATTAATTATACTCCATGCCATTTTAATTTTATTAGAAGCAGTCTTTATTTTGTTGCTCAAATACAAAGACTTGGGTATAGAGCACACTCTTTTAAATGTTTTTGAATATTTTTATATATTACCTTAATTCGATGATAGGATTATATAACCTTTTGTTGTAAAGTTCATATAACCTTTGTTTACTCTTATAGACTCCTACTGTCGTCCATTCATTAAATGCCTTGCGATTGTTCAAGGAGAATATCTTAGAAGTAAAACGATTATCAAATTCATTGCTTAAATAATGTTCCATACAAAAAATCTGTATTATTTTGGTATGAAAGTGATGGACGTTTTTTTACTATGTTACTTCTAAACTTCTCCAAGCGATGTGCATTTACTAAAACAAACACAACTTTTTTATCTACTTGATTTTTGTGAACATAAGGTAACGAAACTAATTGTCCACAGTGATCAGAGCTCAATTTTTGAATCATAAATACGGCAAAACATTTCTAAAATTGTTATCTATACTTGTTGCGTTGGATTCAACAATACGCGTTGGCTCCAAAAATCAATTAAAAAGACCATAAGATTTAAACAATGATCTAAATCTAATATTAGTGGTGGAAGCTTCTAGGACAGGGGTTGGCAACCTGCGGCTCGAGAGCCACATGCGGCTCTTTGGATGTGAAACTGCGGCTCTTTAGTTCCATACGCAAATATTATTTATTTTATAAAATAAAATATTTAAAATCGTTCTGAATCAATTAACGAGTAGGTATTAGGCACCATTTCTATCTCTCAGCCACTTGTACTCGCTTTTCACCGCACCCCTCCCCGGTGACACGCGTCGTCACTGTCGTAAGTCCGTCGAAAGCTCGGAAGTTCTTGAATGTATATATTTCTTTTTTTTTTTTCAAAAATATTTATTTATGCAAGTACTATTATGCTTGGCAAAAATTTTGTGGCTCTTTGAAATACTTTCAAATTTTTTAGATTGTAATTTTGTCTCTTCTGACTCAAAAGGTTGCCGACCCCTGCCGTAGGTGTCGTAAGTGGGGATAGAAGGAAACTGAAACAGGATATAGGCAGCAGCATTGTTCTGTCGCCATCCCGCCTTGCCAGCGTGGCAATTATAGCAAAAGTCTACAAGACAATCTAAAGGGGAGGCCAATTAAAGGGCTACTCCTAGCGAACGACCTGCAGCATTCGGTTCTATACATTCCACGCGCTCTCTCTACAATAATATATCGCGTAAGAAATTCTCCCAAATTTTAAAATATTTTCTTTATAAAATCGAATATTTATCTTTTGAAAAAATTAAACAGATCAAAATGTTCATTAATAAATTGCCTATCCATTAGTGGCAATCGTAAAATAAAAAAGTTTGGAAAATCCAAAAGTGCACGCCTTATAATCTCATTATATTATATAAAAGAAAAATATCTCTTTTTCTATATTTGAGACGAACGAAGAGATGCATGAGAATATTTTTTTGCAGAAAAGTACCAGTTGTTTTTTACATTTTCATTAATTAGGATTAAACGAGAACAAATTAATCAGTGATTTTTTAAAGGATCCTGTGCGTTGAAATTCTAAACCTAATAAAAAAACAATTATTTCGATACATTAATTCTAACGACTACGATTAATACAGACTTCCGGGCACCCTCGACAATTTTTCAATCAGTTTGTTTTTACACTAAATGCAAAAAATTACTTTTAAAAATAATAGAAACATGAAAACGAGTGATTTTTCTCGACATATGTGTATTTTTATTATTCTTAAAGTGCGGTAGTTAAAAAATGAAGACATTTTTAGCTCAGTAAATTACTGGATTTCCATTGTTAGCATATTTTAATAATTTATATTGTTGTAACTAACATGGTGGGTAATTAATTATTTTCATCCTATAAAGTCTGGGGGTACATTAATGTATTAGATGAGTATGATATGATATGTAATGATATGTAGAGAGATTATGTCTAGTTATTTATTTTTGCTTATATTTATAACTAGAATGTAAAACTGTTTAAGATAATTATAAGAAATAGAAATAATGTTTTATAATGTAAAAATTTACGGCTTAATATCCAATTTTATAAAAACTTGTAACGGAAACCATACAAGCAACGCCATCTGTAGTTTAGTACTGTTAAATTACAAGCCTATAAAAGACAGATGTCGTCGGTTTGAGCGGCAGCGATAAGCGGCAGTCTTACTAAAACTGTTGAGTGGAGAATACGTCCACGGAATATAAATTGTGAGTAATAATAATTATTATTATAACTTGTTATTTGTGTGTCTAAAATGTACATTGCTATTATTATGAATGAACTTGTTTAGATTTATGATATTTTATGCAGTTAATAAAATACATGATGTTACTTACGTATTAAGCGACTTTACTTAAGACCATTAGGTGAGAGTAGAGCACTCAACCTCAACGCTTCGCTTATGAGACGTGCAATAATGTTTACTTTATGAGGAGATGTATGTCATCAATAATTTTTATATAATAATTTTTTATTATTTATAATTAATTCGCATTTCTGTGGTTTAGTTGTAGGAAGATTCATCAAGTATTTACTCCTTTAAAAAAACTGGAATTGGCTATTATGGAATCAAGATTGTGTAGAAATGTAATAGGTTTTTTTATTAGTTGATATATCATTTTAATAAGAAGTAGATAGCTCCTAAAAACGTCAATAAAGCCCATTTAAACACGAAACTTAAGGGAACTGATAAATACTACTAAATGTATCAATGCCATTAATTATTCATTCAATAAAGACTATCGAAGACCACCGCCGAACATACCCGGGGGGGGGGGGTCACTCCATAGGTTACCTGATAAGGGGGATATTTGCCACAGTCGCCACGCTTGGTGGGCAGGTTGGTAACCGCAGTTTATTTTATTTTCTAGTCGTTATTAGAAAGACGCCGTTGCCTTTGTATTTCTCTGTCTCACCTTTTGCGACACCCACGTAACGATATGGGGTACTGGATATTTCTACACGCTACTACACGTTCTATTACTCAAATTTACTAATCGAAATACACAGGAACCAGCGAACTACGAATTCTCCTACAAAGTGAGCCACTACAAGAGCGGAAGTGACTTTGGCCGCGCGGAAAACTGGCAGGACGATAAAGCAGAAGGGACGTACTTTGTCGTATTTCCTAATGGAACCAAACAGGTACGTTGAAATTATCTTCATCAACTTTACTGCTTTGGAACCCGAGTAAATTCCACCTATTTCTGCAAACACAAATGCGAATACTATTGTATTTTAGTGTAGTAAGACACTGAAATACAATATATAAGTTTTCACAGTATGCGAGCAATTTTAAGCGTTGATTTACCACGTGCTCCACGTGAAGGAAAATATCGTGAGAATACCTGCATGTCTGAGAAACAAAAAAAATATTTCGAAGACCTGTAGAGTTCTCTCATTTCTGTTACAGCCTATATACGTCCCACTACGTAGGACGTATGTAGGCTGTAACTTTAACTTTATAGTAAGACAGTCAACATTGTAAGAGGTTGTGAATGTATCTTTCTTTACTGGGAACAACACATTCCATCTTAGTCCTTAGGAGTGACAATGCATCTGCATTATGATTCATCATCGGATACAGATGTATATGTCTATGGGCTACAGCACCCACTTGCCATCAGGTGGAACGTGTGCTCGTTTGTCACCATTCTTCTATAAAAAATTGAATTGAAAAACAAACTTACAGTCCACCTGATGGAACGTTGCAGGAATCAGTTGTTCACCTGCAACCAACGTAAATAAAAAATTGGCCTCAATGAGAACTAAGATGGAATACCTCATGGCCTGTTATTATACTGGGTTTCTTCTACATTTCTCTACATCTCTTATACACTTCAGATGTGGATGATAATAACCCCTGGGTAGGATTGTAACATACATGATTGTAAGCTGTTATTTAAAAAAAATCCCGCTGGGTTTCTTGCTGGTTCTTCCCAGGATAGAGGTTTTTTCCGAATCAGTGGTAAATTAAAAAAGTGACTTTCAATAAGTATTACTTGAAATCTATATTGAATAAAAAAGTTTGTTTCTGTTTTTGATCTCTTACTTTTATCCTTGGACTACAGTAGCTAGTTGCTATAATTTGTCAACAAACGAAAGTGTAACAAACAAGTATATTTTTTTAAACTTTGTCCTAAGAAATTAATATACCATGTTTTTCACCTACAATTTCTGATTCTGAGCTATGATCAAAATTTCAAGTCCCTAGCCCAGATGAAAACGTGGTAAAATTAACACATTTTCATGGCATGTATTCTGTTCTTTCCAGGTGGTAGAGTACGAGGCTGATGAAGATGGATTCAAGTCAAGGATCTCGGTAATACCAGTCGACACTGCATTTAGCGGCGCAGGTGACGGGACTTATTGACACAACTCCATAATCCTATAGAAAAGACTACACACTATTGTAAAATTTGATATTTATATAATTTAAAACCGGCAATATGAAATAACCGGCACTATGGAATAAAAAATAAATAAATTAGAAATGTGTTTTACTCGTAATTGGTTCTATAATAAAAGAATATATTATTATAATCACAACATTTTCAAATATTTTTCAAAGTTACATTCTGTATACGTATACAGCTGGGCACAGGCCTCCTTTCATTTCTGAGAAGGTTACGTAGATAAGCATGTTTTTACCCAGTTATTTTATTATGATATTTGAGATGTTTAGAGATACTTGTTAATCAACCAAAACATATTAAAACAAAGTCTTGACACTGCTCCTGTCTGTCCATCTCAATCAATCATCAAAGTTCAAAAACTTTATTAAACTAAGTTTGTATATATATTATAAGGAATTTATGGATGATAATACCCCTGGGTAAGGTGATCGCTACCAAGCTATTTCTAATGTATGTGTTATTAATTGTAACATACATGATTGTAAGATATTATTAAAAAAAAATTCCCCTGAGTTTCTTGCTGGTTCTCCCCAAGACAGTGGTTTCTCTGTACCAGTGGCAAATTAAAAAAAGTGGTTTTCAATAAGTATTATTTATAATTTATATTGAATAAAAGTTTCTCTTTCTGTACCACTATTAATAGAATACTTCAGAAATTATGAGTTACAGTAATAAATAGAGTACCATTATATTTTGTTTTGTGTAATACAACCAACTTTAAAACATATACCTTACCGTGTGTTGGTAATATTATAAATAATATAAATGGACATACTATCCCTTAGTCATCTTGGCTTTAATCATAATACTTTAATGGTATTTGGAATTTACACTCACAATCAATCAAAACATGTCAAAAGTAGAATCCATACGACATTTATGCACAGACAGGCACTATATTTTGCCAGAATTAGTGAAAAGAATTTCGATCGATCTTAAAGTACCTATAAATGCTGAATATACCTACAACTTAGTTTTATATATACTATAATTATTTAACAGTGTTCTATTTTAGCTTATAATACCGGTGAAAACTACTAGAAAATCGCTTTCAGTTTGTTTTTAGGATGGTGTTAGATTCATAATTTAAGGCCGAATACGAAGAGAACTGGCGAAAATTAATGTATTTCTCTTGACTAGAACTTTGACCTGAAGTAATTCTAAGCTTTAAAACATTTTTGTAGGTTTGTTCGGGTCCTTCACAAGGTCAACGTCATTTTAAAATTTTAAAATAAATGAATATACCAACAAATAAAAAAAATGTTAAAAAATGATATATAAAATTATTGTTCTTCCAAAACTCTGTGAATTTTAATTTAGGAATAATTCTTTTACGTAAAAATGTTTGTATTGTGATTCCGAAGGTACCTGCTATCTTTATTTTCGATACAAAATATTATTTATTAACATAATTCGTTTTAATTAAAAACACCTAATAATAATGTCGTATATTGCCAGATAAAAGTTGCCGTAATAAATTACCAGGCGCTTCGACGTGTGACGTAAGGTAACAACAGTCGATGTGTCTGTAGCGAAAATCGTAAATTAAGTGTTTTATACGCGTTTAAGTGTCTATAAATGTTAATATGGGTAGGAAAAGAAATAAATGTTACCTAAGTGGTAAAACAAAGAGAGTTTATCGCATGAACGCTGCTCGAATGTTGTATTTTGAGGTTAATACTTATATTTTTGTAAGGTAATTTTTTGTTTGAGGCTGCCTAATAGGTTGCATTTTTACTCATTTATATTAGCCAAACTGATCATTTATACTTTTCTAGTTTCAAGTGAGAAACACTAAAAATGTAAAATATCAAGACCCAGTCGGAAAAGAATGTACAGAGTAGTGCAAGCACAGAGACCGCAAATAATGTCAGTCAATGTATTGTCCGAAAGCATGGGATAAGTACATAATTAAGAAAAACCGAAATACTTCGGATGTGAAGTGATTGACCAGTCGGAGTAGTCTTGTGAGAATTTACATACACAGTACCTATCCCCATATGGGGCAATCACCGACTTTTTAGTCTTTTTTCTTTATTATTTATGCAATTTGCATTACGGCATCTTGTAAGACTCACAAGAACAAACATTTTCAGTTATATGAGGTTCTTTACGTATGATGAACCAATAGAGAAAAAAAATCGTTATCAATTCAATAACTTTTCGAACAATATTTTATAACGAATAAAGTACAGAATTTATAATCTATAGGAACTAATATTATAAATAAGAAAAATTTATTTAAGAAGTAAGCAATGCTCTGTGTGTTGTTCATTACTCTGCATCTGAGCTAGTTCGTCAAATATAATCAAAGCCCGTACGGCTTTGATTATAGGTGTTATACATGTCTATATAAACAAAGCGTAGATACTGGCGGCGCGTGGTTCGCTGCGAAACGAGCAAGGTCATTCGCGTCGTATTCGGCCTGTATTGTTAATTTCTCAGGACTCCGTTTAGATGCAGTAAAACTAATAACACTATTGTAATCTATAGTTTATAAGGACCAAATTAACATGCATTACATTAAAAATCCTTAAAATTTGTGCTGGGCCCATTCTCCAAACAAAAATAGACATTTGTCAATCACGCATGATTCGTTCGTTTGAGCTGGTACACTTAAAAGTATTGATGGTTCATTCACATAGAATTATTAGGCTTAGGACCGCAACAGGCGCACGCAAAGGGAAGCCGTTTCAAGTTAGCCTTTTAAGGCTAAGTACGACTTTCAGCGTGTCAGTTGGGCATGCAACTTAGAACATTATTTTGAGTACAAAATGATATTTTTTGTGCTGCCATCTACATTCCAAAGCACTAGACTAAACTGGACGCACCACGCCACTACGCAGTTAATGGCGGTCACTGATTTGATATTAATATTAATTTCAAATTATTCTGATTTCTCGTTTGTTTATGTGCTTTCTCTTATTATAATAAATATTTGCGACCCAGTTTTTTTTTAATTTGTGCCAAAATTTCACGAAAATAATGTGTTTTGAAATGTGACCAATTTGGTGAGTACTTTTCGCATAATTTCCATTTTTTATTCACTTGTAAACAGCTAATATCTAAGAAATTGAAGGTTCAAGGCATCAGCTGTAGTCGCCAAAAGTCCACTGCTAATGCATAGACCTCTAGGGATTGCCTCATAGTACTATTTGCCATAGCTGCCACGCTTGTCAGACGGGTTATTGCCCATCTCCTGTTTAAGTTTCCCTCTCTCGCCTCGGAATTAATGATTATATTTTATTATTCCAGATGTTTTACACTATTTTCCGAAATCAGAATACCCTTCACTAGAAAGGTTTCAGCAGTGGAAGAGGATAGCTGGAACATATCTAATAGATAAAACCGATAGTGAAATTTATTATAACTACCGCATTTGCGATCGGCACTTAGAGGACAGTTTTCTGTATCCTCGCTCTAAGACTTGCAAAAACAGCTTACCCCAGTCTTAACCTTGGTAAGTATTTATTAAATACTTTCTTATTGTAATTTAATTAGCAATTGTTTTAGCAGTGCAGACTAAAGAAACTCACTTTCATGATTGTAATATTAGTAAAGGTGGTAAAGCAAACTTTTGGTTTTTACTTATTATAGGTATGTCAGTGTATAGCTTGACTGCGACAACTACGAGTATTACAACCCCACCTGATGGTCAGTGGTTATATAGCCATAGATAGTAAAGCACTGTCTTATCAATAACTAATTAAGGGGTAGGAATAAATTATGTTAAAGTAAATGTTATTGAAGAACTTGAAAATAAATATCATGATTGGCATAAAATCTACACAGACGGATCAAAGAGTGCTAAAGTTACAAGGAGCAGCTTTTTTCGACCCATATCAAGCAGTTTCTAAATCTTATAAAGTTACAAATGACATTTGTATTATGACCCTTGAACTCATTGCAATATCCGAAGCCCTAAGGTACTGCTGCAAGCTATAACTGTAACTAAATTATTATAAACTCGGACAGCAAAACTGCTATGCAACATTTAGCTCGATCCGCCTCTGGAATTGGAGGTGTTTCGAAAGCCTATAGCATACTTTCCCAAATATATCAGTTCAGTTTACGCGACATATGTGCAAAAGTGCAGTGGATTCCAGCACATAGACCAACTATTGGGTAATGACAAGGCAGATAGATTAGCGAACTCTGGTTGTATAAATGGTGTAGAGTATAGTATTGACCCTTGCTACTCAGAAGTACTACAAAAATTCAAAAACTCATGTCATAACAAATTGAAAGAATTTTTCAATTAACACTCTAAAACGAAAGGTGTTTGGTACAAAACGATACAGAGTGAACCACCTCGAATACCTTGGTTTATAGATACGAAATTAAATAGAAATGCTAGTACGAGTAAATTAATATTTGGAGTAAGAACAGGTCACATTCCATGAAAAAAAAATTTCTTATTTGATGAAAAGAACTGATTCCACCTAATGTGAAACTTGTGGAGTGATAGAAAACTTACATCACTTTTTGATGGAATGTGAACGGAAACTAAGGTAATTATTTGGAAGGACATATAAGATAAATGTGGACAATATAGGTATTACGCGGGGCATCCTACATGCCCCCACCATGGATATGGCATTGAGTATGTGCAGATTAATAGCATATGTATAGATTTTAATAGGATTGACATGTTAACTAACAAAAATCCCCAAATTAAATAAGAAAAAAAAAAGCTTATTCACTTTAAAGACAATGGTATGTAAGTGTACAGCTTGACAACAACAACTACTACAACTCCACCTGGTGGTAAGTGGTTATAAAGCCCTAGATAGTAAAACATACTGTCTTAACAATAACAAAACCTTACTGACTTTTACCTTTAAGACAAATCATTTAAAAAAAAATATTTTGAATTTTTAGGGTTCCATATTTACACACAACAAGGAACCCTTATAGTTTCCCCATGTTCATCCATCCGCAGTTTTACTCAGAGACA